GTGGGAGAGAGAGAGAGAGAGAGAGAGAGAGAGAGAGAGAGAGAGAGAGAGAGAGAGAGAGAGAGTTCAATGACGAAGGAGCTCACCACAAGGCCTGCTGTACAGCAATCTCGCAGCGTATGCCACCGCCTCCACTCGCTCTGTTAAAGCCCTTATGAAGTTTGCTCTATTACCAGCGCTCTTGGGATCCGGGATTGCAGTCATAATCAACGGAGGTGTGTACTGGGCGGCTTCAGATTGCACCGCAGGGGTGGACACCGACGAGGTGGTGATCGCCGGGGAGACCGAACTGATCGTCAATGTCATCGGCTGGGACGAGGGCGTCGAGGAGGAGGGCGACGGTGTGCTCGAGCTCCATGGCAGTTCTGAAGCTGCCGCACTTGAATTCGACGGTGGAGCAGAGGAGGACCCAGTCGAGCTAGGGGACGGCTCAGAAGATGAAGTGACCGAGCTAGAGGGAACATCAGAAGAGGCTTCGGTGGGACTAGAGGAAAGATCAGAAGAGGGCCCACTGGAACTAGAAGGAAGACCCGAGGAGGGCGAACCCGGCGAAGTGAAACCCGGTGCGGCCATAGCCAGCGGGCTCGATGACTGGCTGACGAGGAAAGCGATGAGCATCGTCATCACTCTCAGCCGCACAACAGCAAAGCCTTTCAATCGAGTGTACGCCATCTCCAGTTCTTCGTCTTCCTCTTCGTTCACCCTCACGTCGAGCGAGCGAGCGAGCGAGCGAGAGAGAGAGAGAGAGAGAGAGAGAGAGAGAGAGAGAGAGAGAGAGAGAGAGAGAAGAGAGGATTGGGTGTGACACTGCGGATCACGATCACCTAGCCCACTCGCTGCCACGGCTGCTGCCAGTGCTCCGATGCTGTTACGAGCTGAAGCAGCTGTGACATTACGAAGACATATCGTGGATGAGTTCGGCAAAACTCCTTTTATAGCAGGCAACGGTAGTCTTCAAAAAATAAAAAACAGAAAATAAAAAAACTCCTTTTACATAGAATTTTTGTCTAAGTTTTTGAGTGGTGGGAGTTCGTCGAAGGGTTTGCTTCACCATTATTACGCTGGATGAACACGTTTTCGGAGCAAGTTGGGTTTTTTTTTTTTCTTCTTTTTTTTTTCCCTTAGTTCCTTTCCGAAAAAAAAAAAAATTCAAAACTAAACCTGTGACCAGTGACCAGTGACCAGTGAGAGAGCTCCGAGTGGCTGTGTGAAAGCTACCTGTACGTTGTTAGCACAGGTTTGGTTGAAGCGCCTTTTTTTTTTTTTTTTTTTTAATGCCAT